TTCATTCATGTCTAAATTCATTAACTGTAAATAAATAAAAAAAAACATTTATTCATTTCAATCTTCATCTTTATTTTCACTATTTTCAAATACTATTTTAGGATGACTTTCATGCAAGGGACAAATTTTATTTTTCTTATTGTGTCCTTCCTGTTGACATTTTGAACATTTAACAACTATTGAAGAAGGAAGAATATTTTCTGTATAACAAAATTGCTTGCATCTCATCAAATGAATAATTGTATAAAATCAATTTTTGCAAAGGTTAGTATGTGAAATCTCATAATACTTTATTTGCTTATTTAAATGTTCTCCTGCATTAGCATTAAAGTAATTATAACCCCAATTAAATAACTTGGAGTATGTTTCCATTAATATACCAAGATGATTTTTCAAATAATGCATATATGGCATTTTCGAAATTTTATTTGTTCCAGCATTATGTAGAAATAGCTGAAAATATGCCTCTGCTCAAACATTGAAGAATTTTATTCGATCAGGATCATGATGAATGGAACGAACATCCCTGTAAAAGTTGATATACTGCATGTTAATATATGTATATAAGAAAATAATAGTTTTAACTAAAGAATATTATTGTTATTTCCAGTATTAAACTTAAGTCAACTTAATCAATTTACTAAAGTTACTTATTACTAATAACTATAAAATTAAAATAATTAAAATAAAAAATGTACTGAGCCAAATCAGCCCATGCATTGTAAAATTGTAGGATATGTCTTAATTTTTGACTTTTTTGAAACTGTCATGAAACACCTTGATTCTCAACAAAAAAAGTAAGGAAAGTATCTATATTTGCTTCTAAGATTGTACAATCATTTCCAATTATTCACAAATTCTCCGTTCCATCATAATGTTTCTTACTGCTAAAAATAGTTATATGCAGTATTAGATTGAATGATTATGAAAACCATTTCAATTTTGTCCATTGAACTAAGTAACTAATTATCATTTATTATATACGCTATTAATTAAATAATATATTTATATAGTATATTGCGCTAAACTTCAGCATTGGTAAAACAAGAAAACATGTAGCACTTCTTAAGACTCCCACTTATCAATAACTGGAACTGTTTACAATTAACTAAATGTTTTCTAAATTCTGTACTCAAATTTAAAAAAATTTTAAAATAATAACTAAAAATAAAATAATACCTACACATTATATCACACATAAATCAATAATGATATATTTACCTTTTAAAATAACAATCAAGTTGAAATGCTAAATACGAACACCCAATCTTTTTCAACCCTTCAGACAAAAGGTTTTCTTGTGAACGCTTATTTACTACATCAAGTAAAAATTTCCAAAGATATCTATGTTGTACCAAAATTAAATGCAAGCCACATTGTGGCATGAAATCAATAATCAATCCTTCAATTAACACTGTTCCCTGAAATAATAAATAATGTTTTAGAACACTTTTTATGATTTTCATATTTCAGAAGTATCTAAATATGTTATTATCAGATTCTTGTTATAAACATAAAGTGAAAATAATAATTATTTTTTTTACCTATTGTCTATAGTTGTCAGCAGTAAACTTCTTATATTGTGCTGAATCTTTATTTGGTCTAGGGCCTAGCTCAACCCTTGCATGTTCCCTACGTTCTTGTATATCATCAATCAACTGAATGGGACCAACCTTTTTATTTACAGCGGCCCAGTCATAAATTGGCAACTTGCAATGATTGGAGCCATATGTTTGATTACTGGAGCATTTACCAATAACTTCGTTAACAAAACTAAGATCTGCAACTAGAAATAAAATCACATTAAAGTGTTCAGTTTTACTACCATTAATACACACTGTTAATCCATTTTTAACTAGGTTTGTCAAATCTGTGTATACTTTTTGCACATGTAACTTAATATTCTCATGACTTTCATTACCTCGCCAAAGAGTTGTGATAAATTGTCCTTATGGGCTGTTAATCATAGGAGTTAAATTTAATATTGAAAAAGAAGTTTGCTCCGTTGGATAACGACTAGCAACACAACATTTATCTCCAGTGTCACGCAGAACTAAAGTTTTGCTAATTATGTCAAACTTTTCATAAAGAGTATTATTTTTCAGAATTAAGAAATCTCCTATCACTTGTTGTTGTTCAATGGAAAAAAACTCAAATTTTTCATAAAGAGAAGGGGTTGATAGCACTTGTCGTAGTGTTTCTTCAACATTACAAGAGTAACCAAAACACTCACAGCCGACACTAGCATCATTATGAGCATGTTGAATTAGACCTACATCTATATTATGACAGTATTTTCTAAGGTTGTCATATGTAGTAATGCTTACATTATTTTCTTGAGAGAACCTTTTAAAACTTTACAAGATCTCTGTGAAACTTCAATTTTATCCATCATTATTGAAGCAGTTTGTTGACAATCAAGATTTTTTCACAGCTGTTATAAACGTAAGCCTTTCAACAATATGAACTAAGAAATCAGTATTTTCATCTATAACTTCTTCAACAGTTTCTGGGCACTCTTTTATTATGTAGCTCACAAAACCAAAAAAAGTGGTTTAAATTTTATAGATTCAATAAATTAATCAAAATTAAATATAGAAAATTAGAAATACTCACTTTTTACATCACCATAACTTGCTGACTCTACTAATGAATGAATTGTCTTATTCCGAGATTTTAAAGCTTTTTTACAGAGAAGCGAACTAGTTTTTTTAGCACCACGTTTTCTTATATTCAGTAAATCAACTATTACAGTGTTGTTGTTTTGTTTAATGTTATCAAAAGATGGTGTATCAAATTTTATTATCGGACAAGTTGTTTTATTGATTACTTCACTTTTATCCAAGCCAAAAAACTAAAAACCAGACCAGTTTTTAGAACTAATATAGTTTAATTTGATAAAAGCATCTTTAACAACAGAAGAGGAATGCAATGACTTGCAATCAATTAATAAGTCAGAAAAAATAATTCGGTAAACAGGACCATCATCTGATTTATCAATCTTCATTGTTATAACCACATTAACATCATTCAGCTTGAATAACCTTTGTGCTTCATACCCTGGTTGAATACGACATTTAACTGATCCAATTGTTTTTATGTACAACAAACTGTCACAATTTATCGCAGTCCCATAACTTACAACACCTAACCATGAGCACAATCTTGTGTTTGTGGGGGATGTTACATTAGATATAAGGGATTGATATTGTTTTCTACAATCTTCAGATCCGGATAAACTTAAACGAAACTTGAAATCTTTAGAGTCTAATCCATAAAATCGTTTTCCATTGAGTCTAACTTTTATTTTTACACCAAAAAAGCAAATAACCTTACTATAAACTAATGTTGGATTAGTGCATAAATATCTTTTTTGTATATTAATATCACGCATAACTATTCCTTCATATAAGAGTTTTCCATTTAATGATTTGTTAACATTTAAAATTATAAATGATTCTTCTCCCGAATTCGACACCAACTTTCTTTTTGCTGAATACCCATTAAATGGTTCTGTATCCCATGCATCACAGTCAACTTTTTCACCAAAGTTTAATATTCCTATATATTCCATGTTTAAATAGTGAAATAAGTTAAAAATAGTGAAATAAGTTTAAATTTTTAAACAGTGAAATAAGTTAAAAATCAAGAGTTCAAAAGATATACGTTAAAATAAACTTTTTTATTTTTAGTATTTATGATAGTAAAGTATTTAAAGTAGTAAAAACTTTTCTCGCTCTCAACGCGGTATAACGCAGAACAGAAATATGACAAAAACAATTATTTTATTGCAAAAATATGAATGTAAAGATAAATTATAAATATAAATGCTTAGTAATGTAATCCTTGAAGATTTTTTAATTTTCTCTAAACTTAAGAAGTTAAATTAATTTATTTTGGGTAGAAACAGCAAAATATATTTAGACATACCATCAAATATAAAGCATGAAAATATCCCGAGCGGATACAAGAATATCCCGAGCGGATACACAACTTTAATGTTCTATAATTCGAAGTAAAAAGATGATATTGACATTCTTCTTTCAGCGACAACGTACACTAATTGTTACAAAAAATAAAACAGGAAACCAAATTAAAATAAAATAAAAAACCAGCGAGTTATTTTTTTTTTAGTAAACAGAACTGAAAAAAAAAGCGCAAAAAATCAGAATTGAACTTCCACTAACTGCTGTTAAATATTCGAATACAGATCGCCGTGTAATCGGATTAAAATTTACTACTGTTTCGGATTAAAATTTAATACTGTAATTAAAAGAGTTTTGGATAAATGAAAAATGAATTGGTTTATAAATTTTATTTATTTTTTTTACTTGTTTCGACCATAATTTAAATGCTTTTTCAAATTTTTCTTTTTCTAAAAACACTCTTTCAATTATATTTTTTATTATATAGGTTTCTAAATAATGTGATACAGAAAATGTGATAAATTACCTACTTTTATTAAAATATCTAAAAGCTTTAAGGGCAAGGTATCATTATATTTATACATTATAAAGAGTTTTTAAAAATAGCATATATTAATTTGTTGGTATTCAGAAAACCTTTGTTTGCTGTAAACCATAAATTGATTTTTTTTTTCTATTTATAGCGTTTAAGCTTGTCAAATATATTTATTTATTTTCTTAATTATTGTTACCCGTTTAAATAATTAAATAATAAAACAAAGTTAAAACAGGGTAGCGACAGGTTTAAAAATATTTTGTTTAAGGTAAATTAGATTGTAATAATCGTAATAAAAACTAGTTTTAAATAAACTTATGAACCTTTTTTTCCCAAACCTTAATTAAACTTATTGTTATTATAGTTCATATGTTTTTATCATGATTACTACTGTTATAGAAAAAATATTTAGTTTTTAAAATACTTATTATTATTTTATTAAAATAGCTGTCATTACTATTAGTAGTATTTGGTGTACTTTGAAACATTTCTTAGCAAATAAAACCTAGCCAGTATTTAACTATAAAATTATTTTATAGAACCTTTCCGAATGTATAAGGATACAGATATAAAGAACAATCAGTTGCTGGCTGTTTTAGCTAATCTTCCAGAAAGTTACGAGTTATTATTTGAATTTAAAGCAATACAATTTTTAAACAAATGGGCAAGTTTAATTCATTTGACAATTGACGGAGATAACAGTAAATATGGCGATAGAACGCCAGGAGTATGGGTATCACCTAGTAACAAGTTGTATTTTGCATCAGCAATAAATGGTACAGTTAATTCAGGTTTTTATGCAAATATAATATACCCGTTAAATGAGTGGATACAAGTAAAAGTATCACAAAGTAAGTCTTCAAGTAAATATGTATATGCAGTTGAAGTAGCAAACAATGTAATATATAATACGCAGAATGATCTGGCAATGAATTTTAAAAATGTAAAGGTATTCTTGGCAAATCCGTGGTACCTTGCTCAGCCTGGTTTCATTAGAAATTTGTCAATCTTAAACACGTGTGCAGGTAAAAATTAAAAACAACTTACATTTAAAGTAGTAGTTACTTGATTCTTTACTGAATCGTTAAGTTATCTAACTTTTATATACTATTTGTAAGTTTTATGAAAAACTATTGAAGAACTACTTTGACTTCAAATTTGTATTAATAATTAGTAGACTTGATTTTGAACTATTTTATGTAATTTAACTACTGTTTTGTCAAGCCATTGCTTAGCAATGAAGTTAATACATGTACAACGGTTTTTATAAAACTTACAGAAAGATATTTTAATAAATCCTCATAAAAATATAATTTTTTTTTTTCAAAATTAAAATTTTTAAAGGTAAAATTCTAGTTAGGGGTCGTCCAATTTTGAAATCTGACCCCCTCCCTTCCCCCTGTTGCCATTCGTATTTTTAAGATCTTTCCCTCCCTTAAAAAGTACCCTTCATACCCCTTATTTTGGGGGTGCTGGAAAAGGGGCAAAAAAATTTTGTGTCCTTTTGTTAATTTAAGGAGCATTTTATTTCAGCGAAACCTAAACGTAAAAGTTTTTGGAGGGGGCCTCCGACCCATTAGCCACGGCACTGCTAAATCCTGTTTTTTGTCGACTCAAAAGAAAGATTGCCTGAAATACACCTTACTCAGGGCCAGTATATAAAGGTTGCATGTTTGCATGGGCGCCCACAAGATTTTTTGATGTTCTAGTTAGGACACTTTCACACGTTTGGCATAGATAGACTTAAGTTTGGAGCTTGCATAAGCTCTAAACAAAAGTATGCCTATGCCAAAGTTGTGTAAATTGTACAATGTCAAATGAGGAAGCCTTGCGAAAAAGTGGCATGGTGGAGGCCTGGCAACAAAAATGACCTAAAACGCTTCCTTACCCCTGCCCAAGAGAGAGGGCACTAATGTAGTATAAAACTAAATTTAAGTTTATCGTAGACAATTTTGTAAATAATTTATTGTAAGTTTTTTCGTAAAAGTTTATCGTAAAAAATTTCGAAGACAAATATTGTAAATTACGAAAGTTATGACCATACAAAACTTACACCCCTCGCCTTTTTTTTTTTTTTTTTTCAAAGTCTCCTTATTTGGCATAGATATAAACATACTTAAGTTTGGAGTTTGCACAATGTGTGAAAGTATCCTATCTGGAACATCAAAACATCATGCGGGCCCCCATGCATGCGCGTGCATTAAGGGATACTATACCTAAATCAAACATCTTTTTATGTTGGCAAACTATGATTTTTAGTCAGAATTTTAACTTTTCTATTGATTAGCTGGTTAATTGTAATAAATTAGAAAATCAATGTACGTACTTTAAAATTGAAACCTCAACATACACTTTTGTACGCTTTTTGAAGTCCTCCCCCTCCTCTTTATTAGCGTACGTACGTATGGATGACCCCTTACATGGAAAAATTATTTTTACATCTTTTAAGTTTAAAAATTACTATGAAATTGACAGATTTTAATTAAAATTTATAATAATGACATTTACCAGAGAAAAAAAAACCCGCTAATCCTGTTAAGTTCCTAATAAGTTTCCTACTAAAACTTAGTAAGTTCCCGCCGAGTACTTACTAGGAACTTAGTAGGATTAGCAGGTTTTAGTAGGAAATTTAGTAGGATTAGCAAGTTTTTAGTAGGAAACTTAGTTGGATTAGCAAGTTTTTAGAAGGAAACTCAGTAGTATTACTAGGTTTTTTACTCGGAACTTATTAGGTACTTAACAGGATTAGTAGGTTTTTTTTTCTCGGTTAAGTACTACTTTCTAGTTTTAGTTAATAGTTTTTTTAGTTAAATTCATATGTTTATTAGGGTTTTATTTAATTATTTGAGTTTTAAAGATTTCACAGATATATTAGTAGGCTTATTTTTCAAGAAATATACGAGTTTAAGTAAAAATAATAATTTTTACTTAAACACAGAATCTTCTTGAAAATATAATCCTTATAATATAACTTAACTAGTCGCTAAGCAATAAGGACGCTTATTTATAAAACAATAATAAAAATAACAAATTATAAGTGATACATTGTTTAACTAGAACATTTAAAAAAACACAATAAACAGCGATGGTCAGTTCCTTTGGTAATTTCGCAGGTGTCAAAGGAATAATTGCACCCTTATGATTTTTCTTAATCTTTTACGACCATAACTGTAGGTATAACGTAATTTATAGAAATATTATTGTAATTCAACAACATAATAACATATATTTTATAACAAAAAAGCATATTTAATTTACCATAAATTTAGAACGATGAAAAAACTTTCATTATCATTGTTTCAAAGCTATTATAATCAAAAATTTCAAAATAAAAGTGTATGAAAATATGAAACTAACTTAAATTAAAAAAATTTAAATAAGCCTCGTGTGTGTATATATATATATACATATATGTATATAAATATATATATACATATATGTATATAAATATATATACACATATATGTATATATATATATACATATATATATAAATATATATATATATATATATATATATATATATATATATATATATATATATATATATATATATATATATATATATATATATATATATATAAATATATATATTTATATATATATATATATATATATATATATATATATATATATATATATATATATATATATATATATATATATATATATATATCAGTGGCGTAACCATAAAATTTGCACCCCCCCCCCACTAAAGAAGTTAAGGGCCCTGCTTAAATTTTTTCTCCCACTTTAGATTTTTTCAAAAATATATTTAAGAATGAAATATCCAATATTTCCTTTTTATATTAAGTTAATATAATACGATTTAGTCTACAAAAAAATTAATTAAACTTAAAATTATTATTACCAGTCATATTATTCATGAGTAAAATTTAAAAATCTCTGCAGGGCTATTTAAGCTCCGTGCCCACCCGCCTTGCGGGGTTTTGCTCCCCACGCCAATGATTTATGCAACCCGGTTATGCAACACTTTAACCCCAGAAAAAAAAACCCCGCTAATACTACTAGAAATATGTTTAACTTCCTGCTAATCCTGTTAAGTTCCTGCTAATACGGCTAATCCTGGTAAGTTTTTGCTTAATACGGTTAACCTATTAAGTTTCCCATTAGTGAAATGACATTTATGAATTTCCTGCTAATCCTAGTAAGTTTCTACTAAGTACTTATCAGGATTAAAAGAATTAATTAGTAAGTTCCTAGTAAGTTTTCAAAAATAAAACAAGTTTAAAAACTCGTCTTTGTTATACGCCATCTTTTATTTATTCACACGGAAGACAAGTCAGCCATAAAACAGCTTTTTTAGATTCAATAGTTTTACTAATTAATATTTGTAAGTCTATAAAGAAAAAGCTCAAGAACATCTGGGGATGATTGCGTGGTTTGCAGCTTATTTGATGAATATTTGTTAATGTGTTATAATGTGGTTTTAAATGTTAATTTTAACTCTATATAAATTCGAGCATTTTTATTTCTGATTTTTTTATTTTCATTGTTTATGATTTTATATTGTTTAATAAACATAAAATCATAAATCATAAACAATTATATTGTCACTCTTTCTTTTTACTATTTCTTTTTACTAAAAAGAGTAAGTGACTTATCTTTATTAATAAAGATTTGTCACTTTGTTTTAGTATAAAGAAAGACTTTTATTTTTAATTTCCTTAAAATTTTATTTGTAGTTTTATTTAAAAAGTCAAATTTTTATGTCAAAAAACCACTCACTTCAAGCTTGACTAAAAGTTTTAGTCAGAGTAAAAGGGTGTAAACCATTTGACATTAAAAATTGATCAATATTGAAATCACTCTCTCATAAAATATATATAAACATTTTTTACTGGTAAATATATTTTTATTGTTATCTCTTGTTAACAAGGTTTAATATTTCTTTTTAACATGTTATTAACATGTTAAAATAAAATGTTAAATCTACAAAAAAGAGTAAGTGACTTATCTTTAAAAAGTATATATATATAAAAAGTGTATATATATATCATATATTTAGTCGCTACTTACGGTAAAAGACGCGTTAAAGACGTTTAAATTATGAAATAAATGTGTTTTAGACGTTTTAAAAACGTCTTGCATCAACAAGCTATCTTTTTTTCGCCGGTTAACTTGCATGATAGTTTGCAAAACATTGCGATGATTGGAGGCTGGGAACAAAAATATCATCAAACTTTATGACCATAAACGAGGCCAAGCACGAGTGGCAAAAACTAGACTTATATTCATCGAAAAGTTTTAAGTGTCATAGTATTTCTCAGCGTTCAAAAATTAAGACTATATAAAGTTTGAACCCCCTTCAATTTAAGGAAGTTGAAAATTTGAAATGGTCAATATTTTTGAACGCTTAGAGATAATACTATGACACTTAAATATTATTGATGAATATAAGCTTAGTTGAGAATAGTATAAAAAATTTTATCAAGTTGTTGTCCCTCGTGTTTAGGGCGAGGTTGGGGATAACATTTAACGGCTTTTGTTTCAAGCCTCTAATCATCGCACTTTTCTGCAAAGCATTATTATTTAACATAAGTATAATCATACAAATGTTTGGAGTTTTCTTTATGTCTGGAAGTTAGCTATCTCAGCTATATATATAAGTTAGCTATATATATATATATATATATATATATATATATATATATATATATATATATATATATATATATATATATATATATATATATATATATATATATATATATATATATATATATATATATATATATATATTTATATATATATATATATATATATATATATATATATATATATATATATATATATATATATATATATATATATATATATATATATATATATATATATATATATATATATATATATATATAATATATATATATATATATATATATATATATATACATATATATATATATATATATATATATATATATATATATATATATATATATATATATATATATATATATATATATATATATATATATATATATATATATATATATATATAT